GATCTCCACACCTGCACTGGTATATTTCCCCTCCCCCAGGTAAATAAATGTAATAACAATTTTCAGGGGAGATAAACAAAGGTAATTACTCTTTCTTATTTTTCTGTAGGACCTCACAAGTTCAATTGCATTATATATGTGATCATTTATAACTTGCTGTTGTCATTTAAAATGATGGCAAAATACAATTCTTATAACTTTATGTGAGTGTGTATAATCTATCCTCATTTTGGTACCGTGGTCTTCTTGCCTTACTTTAAGCATGTGGCTTTTTTTTTTTTTTTTAAATAGAGGGGAATTTTTTTTAAAGATTTATTTACTTATACATATGAGCACTTTATTTGCAAGTATGCCTGCATGACAGAAGAGAGTACCAGATCCCATTATAGGTGGTTGTCAGCCACCATGTGGTTACTGGGAACTGAACTCAGGACCTCTGGAATAGCAGACAATGCTCTTAACTGCTGAGCCATCTTGCCAGCTTCCCAGCATGTGGCTTTTAAAACATTCATTTTCCCTAGGATGACTTTAACAGTACAACTGTTAGCTTGGTGTTTCTGTGGGACTCCAAACAGTGGGAGTTGGGGTATCTCAGACTCTTTCATCTGCTCTTGGGACCCTTTTCCTCCTACTGGGTTGCCCAGCCTTGATATTAGGGTTTGTGTCTAGTCTTGTTGTATCTCGTTATGCTGTGTGGATCTCCCTGGCAGGCCTGCTCTTTTCTGAAGAGGAGGGAGGAATGGATCTGGGAGAGAGGGGAGAAGAAGAGGGACTAGGAGAATTAGAGGGAGTGGAAACTGCAATCAGGATGTATCAAAAACCTAAAATTAATTAATTTAAAAAAAAAAGAAAGAGATGACTTTGCAGAAGTGGAATTAATTGCCAGTGGAAACAAAGAGTGTCATGAAGACTCTCGATGTATATACTGTCAATTTTTCCCCTTTTAAGGGGCACATTGGTTTTTATTCTCAGTGTAATAGAACACACAAGTTCAATTCTAAATTATTTGCTATTATTTCTTACTTTAAACACAATTGAAACAACCAATTAAGACTTTTTATATCTGCTTGGGTCAACAGAAAGCCATAGGTGTTTCGCTTGTGTGTTGGGGGCCAAATCCAAGCCTCACACATGCTAAGTCCTGGCTCTCACACTGGCCTATACCTGCGCCAGAAAGCAGTCGTTCAGAATAGCCTCGCTCCTCTACCCTCACACAGGCTGGCACGATACTTTGCCTGCAGTTTTCATTAGAAGCTGCTGCAGAAACTGGCCGCATACAGAAAGTTCTGCACCTGCTGTTAAACTGTCACTGGCTCTGCATGCTGAGACACGGTTCTCTTTCATTTTAGGTACATCTGCACTTAGCATCAGAGCTTGTGGAAGCGAGGGGCTCCGTTGCCATCAAATTCTTCATTGGAGTGACTGAGAATGGGTCACATTGACTTACGTATGGGCTTGATCCATTACAAGGCAAACTTCCAAAATGTCACGGCTCCCTTTCAACCGCTGAGTTGGGGAGTGAAGTGTCCCCCCAAACCTTCCAGAAGGGGGGGGGAGGTCTTAGACCTCTGATCTGAATATTTTACCTAGCAGTTAGTTGTGAGTCTTCTTCTTCAGACCACTACACACACAGGATTAGAGTGCTGCTTCTAGAAGCCCTGGCAAGGAGCAACAGCAAGAGATCATTCTGATTGGTGGGGGGAGAGCGGGTGTGGGCAACTTCCTGAGCAGGGGGCTTATTACAGGGATTCACTAGGGAACAGATAATAAAGAACTGAGCCACTCTGGTGAGACTTGAGGAGCCCAGGGCAGTGAGTGAGTGCTTCTCAGAGCCCCTTAGTCAGCAGCTTCTTTTGGCATCTAACTGCAGTCAGCAGTCAAGGGGAGAGCACTGGGAGAAATTGACTCCAGTCTTCCTCCAGTAAGAGCTAGAGAGCTCAAGCGTCTTCTCTACAGGATTTCGAATGGGCCTTCCATGTGTCTGGAACCCCAGGGGTGTGTCACAGTACCCGGCTCACTATCTTTAGCAGGCCAGGTGATCTGAATTTTAGCCCATGTTAGTTCCAGCATGTCTGCCCTACCTGAAATGCAGGGGACTCCCGTGGCCCTCTCTGTAAGGAGAGTTGTGTCCAGAACAATGAACTAATGTGACTTAAACTTAGAGCAAACATCAGCTTGGCTTTTATCATAGTGGATGGCTATTTACTGAAAGCTAACAGTACCTGGTACTAGCAGAGAGAGAAGAAAAAATACAACAAACATACTTGTTACAAGGCGCTGGTGGGCTGTGAGTAATGGGGAAAAAGTAGGAAGCGAGATAGGGACCCAAAGAATGTGCAGAAAGATGAGGCGTGGCCCTGCTGCTGCAGGGAGTGTCCCGAGGCTGGCTTTGTCCTGTGCCCTTGCAGAACCAGCCCAAGGAGGACCTTTCTGCTCTGTCATGGCCATGGTGCTCTGACAAGGTGGCTCTAAAGAATGAGCCTGTCTACTCTTCCTCCACTCTCTGATGGGCTCCCCTGGGACTGCACAGGAGAGCCCCTCCCTCCACGAGGAAGTCAGTGCTGTGAGGTGCGACAGGACACCTGGGGCCCAGCAACAGTGACTCACTGTGTGCCCTCTGGGCGAGTTATTTGGTCCTTTTGGTTTCTTCCTCTTTCAGAGCTGGAGTGGATTCCTCGTGGCTATAAAGATTTGATGGTGGTTAGCTACTGCAGAACTGCAGTGTGTGTGTGTGTGTGTGTGTGTGTGTTTTGTGTGTATGTGTGTGTGCATGGTATGTGTATGTGTGTATGTGTGTGTGCGTGTGTATGTGTGTGTGTGTGTGTGGTGTGTGTGTGTGTGTGTGTGGTGTGTGTGTGTGTGTGTGTGTGTGTGTGTGTGTGTGTGTGTTAAGCTTGCTGTTTAATAGGGTGCTAAGGTGGTCAGGAAGCCGTCCTTCCCTTCCCCCAGCTCTACACGTGTGTGTCTCTCATTACTGTCAGGAGGCGTTAAGATGGCCCCATGGAGATGAGAACAAACCCCTTAATTAGGCACTGTTCCCACATCTAGAGAAGGACCAGCCTGGGCCTGGCTGCTCTGGCATTGTGGGGAGCCTAGTCTGTGGGGGCAGGAGGGGGCAAGAGGGCACAGGAGGGCGCAGGAGGGGGAGGCTGCGACCAGGGCATCTGAAGGACTCAGCAGGTTTACACTTCGCTGACCTGATGGATGAATGGGGCCCTGTCCACCCACATGGGGCCTGGAATCTTCAATTACGGCAATTACATCAACAGGTCGGAAGGGCAGCACTTCCCACTGAAGAGGTTCAGGGCTTTAAAGAAAAATCCTAAAGCCACTGTTTTCCCTGCTTTCTTTGAAAGGGACTAGGCCGATCAAAGACGACCCCATCTCCCAGTCTAATTGGGCCGTAGGTAGAAAAGAAAAATGTGGCTTGGTTTTGTGTGAGAGCTGGCTGGCATGCGTTCACTCACCTCTGGACTCTTGGTTCCTCTCCCATTCAATTGTGTGTTTATAGACCCTGGCTGCACAAGCTCTGTGCTTACCACCTTTTTGAGGATAAGGCATGGGTGCCTTCCCCTCTGAACCTCCCAGCATGCAAACCAGGAGTGCAATCAAGGTGGCACTGGAACCGCTGTCGGGATGGATTTCTTGGAAAAGTCACTTTACTCTGATCAGTTGTTTCCCTCATCAGTAAAATCAGCACACTGCTGTCTACCTGTCCTCGCTAACGTCTCAAAGTGTCCAGCTGCAAACCACATACCCCAGCTAATGGGGCATTCTCGTTTTCTCAGCCACCTGGTAGGTAGTTAGGATGAACTGAGGTCCCTGCCCTGGCAGCCAATGGGTGTTACCTGATAATTTTCTAGAAACGTAGATCTCAGGTCTTTGGCCTTGCTCCAGGTAAGTAGGGAATCTGCATTTTATTGACCAAGCTCTCCAGAAAATGTGTGGACACATTAAAACTGAAGGAGTGCTTTTCTCGAGTGAAACTTGACACACTGAACTTGATCGAGCCAGTGGCAGGGAACCTGCGGCTCATTTTCATCTGGAAATGAGGATTTATTCTTTGCTACACGAGGGTATGCACTGAGGCCCAGAATGAAGCAGTTTTTCATCGCAGAGGTATTTCATCCAGCCACTGGGTAAGTCAATTGATGGATATTTACTGAACAGCACTACAAGGTAGGTCTGGGGTTTGTAAAATATATTCTTTATTTAGGAACTATTTGAAGTGGTCTAAAGGTGGAATGTTTAAAAAGAACTACCTCCAATAAAGCACGCTAGGCACTGTCAAATGTTCACGCTTAAGATAATCGGCGGTATCGGCTGAGTCTGACTGAGTTCAGCTGGGTAGGGTAGTGGAAGTAGCTTCCCTGAGGGAATGGCATGATAGCTTCTGTGGGAATGAATGCTGCCAAGCAGATCCTTCTAGACAGAGGCCAACGTAAGCAGAGGCTCTGTGTTTCGTAAGAGGGGAAAGGCAGCAAACCTTAGGCCCAGAGTCTCACAAGAACCATCAGAGCCACCTGCATTTTGCAGATGGTGCCACAACTTGGTCAATCCACCACAGCTTGATTGGTCAGTCTAATGAGAGAGGTTTACGTCTGGGTTAGTTCCGTGGGCGTCACTGTCTGGTTGACTTTAGGTTCTGGCCCTTCATCAGAGCCCTTCATACACAGGGTAATATTATATTTATTGTTCGGCTAATTATTTAAGAGGGCGGTTCCTTAGAACTCCTCTTGGAGTCTAATGGCTGAGTTTTATTGGTGGCATCATACTCTACTTCTTGAGAGTTTTAAGACCACACCGAGCCAGGCAGTAGTGGCTCACGCCTTTAGTCCCAGTATTCAAGAGGCAGAGGTAGAGGTAGGCAGATCTTTGAGTTCGAGGCCAGCTTGGTCTACATGGTGTGTTCTAGGACAGCCAGGGATACTCAGGAAAACCCTGTTTCGAAAAACAAACAAACTACAAATCGCACTGAGCATTGAGGGTTAGATAAATAAGGGAATAGGCCTCCAAGCATGTAATTTATGGGTATGGTCTTTTTGGAAATGCCAGGGGCCACCAACATTAACTGGGCATTGTGCTGTCAGCATGTCACCAGCGCCATCATCTAGCATCGCCAGAGATTTGTCACTGTTTTTCTCTCCTACCACCACCTCAGTGTTTGTACAGCAGGCAACAGTGGGATATGTGGGGGTGGCTGTTAGCCATAGGACGAGGGACAGAAGTGGGGGTGCTATGGTAGACACAGAAAATAGCACCCAGAAGAGTTAGCTTACGCCCTGCATCAACCAAGAGTGTGGGGGCCCTGTCTCCTGAAGGACTGATGCGATGCAGTCTTTGGTCACAGCTGCTGAGACAGGGAGTGGGTGCATCCATGTGGCTGCATGAAGATGCCAAATTGCTTCCTGGTACATGGGCCAGGATTGCATGAGTAGAAACAGTCCTGTCAGTTATGACTCTCCAGCTTGACCAGAGGGTGAAGTCTCAATGGCTCCTCAATGGCTCCTCAAGGCCACCTGGGTTCTTGGTCCCTTGGGTAAGGAAGGCTATTATAGGAAGGTAAAGGCTGAGGTATCAGGGCTTCTTGGTAGTTGAAGATAAGGGTGTGCAGTATAACCAGTCTACTCTTGCTTGGATCTCAGTGACTAAGCTAAAGGCAAGGACTTCGTTTTGCTTGTATTGGATAGCACCCATGGGTGCTGAGTTAAAAGTTAACCAAGCTTGCAAATAAGGGTTATCTGTTGGTCTCTGGCATGGACATCGGGGCAAAGGCTTTCTGCACTGCTGCCCTCAGTCTCCACACTCATTCTATACGGGCTCGGAAGGAGTTGATACCCTGTCACTGGTCCTGTTCAGTGTATAGAGAAGTAGGAGGACAGGATTTAAGTAACGCAGGGCATCGTTGCTCCAGGTGGATCTTTGCTGTGGGTGTGGCAAGCAGCGCCGTAGTGTAGACAGAGCCGGAGATTAGGAACCAGACCTTCTGGAATCAACTGTGGGCTTCTCACCTCGCAGTGTAACACCCGAGGGGGCAGTTCATTGCTTGAGCTTCACTTTCCTACCCTCTACCATCACCGGAGTGCTCTGCCCTTGCTGTGTCACGAGGACCGAAGGAGACAGTACAGTCCTACAGTTGTTGGGTAGCTAAGACTCTTGGGGTGACCCAGCCTCCAAGGAGCCGAGGTCTTGAGAATCAACTGCCTTCAGTTCATGAAACCATGTCAGCCTCCGAGCTGGGAACAAGAGAAAGAATCTAGTGTGGATCCCACATCAGCTGGATAAGGAAACCAAAGTCCGGAAGGCTCCACCCTGCAGCCCCGTGGCCACTTATCCATCCTTAGAAACATATATGCATGCACATATCCAGTTGTGATGTATTTACCGGGTATACACACTCCAGTTTCAGGAGACCCAGCTTCCTCTTCTGGCATCTGAAGGTACCAGACACACACGTGATAACATCCTGCATCTGCTGGGAAGTGATGCCTGCTGCCATTCATGATTCACCTGCCAGAGGATTGCCACCCCTAACTGCAAGCAGGCAAGGAGCAGCAGACTCCTCTGGGCCTTTGGGAAATGAGTTATGGAAATACTGCGAGCCCTCATGATTGCTCATTACACCAAGAAAGCTACAGCCCTTACATTAAAGCTCCGAGGCCAAGCAGGTCCTGCCCAGCCACGTGGCTTGTAAATAGGGAGATGTGAGATTTCAACTGGAAAGTCTGATTGCAAAGCCTTTGCTATTTCCTGTCACCCAGGATCCCTTGCCTCACACATGACTACTGTATTTCATGACAGGGAACTGCAGTCAGAGGACGGGCGACAAATGCGCTGCAGCCTGTGAGGGGCTGGACGCCACAGCTTGTGAGAGAAAGCCCTGCTGGGGCTCATCTCTAGATCTTGAAGAGGCCAGATTTGGATATTGAGAGATGTTTATTCTTTCGGTCGTTCCCCCATCGGTGTGTTCTTCGGTTGGGAACCACTGTTAACCTCGCCTTAGTCCCCATTCTTGGCTTTCTGTTCCCTCGCAAGAGAAACTGGAGGAATGGGGCCTTGCAGGGAAGCTCTCTGAACTGGGTTTGACCAAGAAGATTTCCTGGAATGGGCCCTAGGGAGAAATCAGATAGAAGGGCCAAGTAGGAACTGGGTTTGATTACAGAGTTAGTGCAAGCTTCCCTCCCTTCCTCCTGTTCCCCCTTTTCTTTCCCTCCCTCCCTCTTTCCCTCAGCCCTGCTGTCTGCATAGGCCAGTGCTGAGTGTGTGTGTGTGTGTGTGTGTGTGTGTGTGTGTGTGTGTGTGTGTGTATAAAATTTTGGCTCCCTGGGGTCTTATAGGGCAAGGCAGTGTTTGCCTAGAAACTCAAGAAGAAACCTCCTGAGTGAGCCAGTGACCCCATGGAGAAGTGTGTGTAACTTGAGGAAAAGAAAATAAGCCTACTACCCCACAGTGCATAGCCTGCAGGTCGTGGGGGAGTGCCAGCCTGCCGCTTAGGCTCTGGGCTGAGTCAGGGGCAGCGTGAAGACTGCTGCCCAGGGGCTGCCCCCTGCACCTGGCCCTGCCCACAGCTATGTTTCAGCAACCTCCCCGCCGCCCCCCCAGGAGCCATGTTTGGGAAAGCAACTGAAACAGAAGACAATGTTTGAGTGGGTTTTTTTGTTTTTTCCCCTCCTCTCTGGGATCCTCCCTGACTCAGACTCAGGGTGAATTTGAGCGTCAGCGACAGATTAGTACTTCAGGGATATGGTTCGAATCCACTGAGGGGGTAAAAGGAGCTGGGGGGCCACCCTTGCACCCACTCAGCAGCTGGCCACACATGTAGCCCTTCATAGTTCATCAGCTGCCAACTAAGAGCCTGACCAACCATCCTCCACCAGAAAAACTGCTGTGTGTGCCTTTCTGGGACCCCACTATTTAATTCTCTCTCACCTCTATCCCACTTCTCATCCATGCCATTGGAGGATATCAGAACACGTCAGAAGGCATCTAGGCTAGCAGTTACTAAGCCCAGTGGATCATCACTCAGGAAGCTCTTAAAAATGTGGTCTCTGGGCTGGGGATAAGGCTCAGCTGGTAGAGGACTTGTATTGCATAGAATTGGGCATGGTGGGACCTACATGTAAGCCCAGCTCTTCAGGAGGTAGAGGCAGCTATATACTGAGCTCAAGGCCAACCTATGTTTCAGAGATCAGAGAGGGAGGAGAAAGAGAAGGGGGGGGGGGGGGAACAGGGGGGGGGGGGGGAATGGAGGGAGGGAAGAAGAGAGAGGAGATTCTCAGCCTTAGGGACTGATTGTGCAGGTCTCACGCCCTGTGGGCCATCCCTGGCTTGTCTTGGCAACTAACTTTCCTTGTGTGAATTTATGGCTTGCATTAAGGGATAGCTTTGCAGACATGCTGAAAGGACCAGCACTGCCCCTCTGTCTCATCACTGCAGGTTGCCTGGATGCAGGCCTCTCACAAGGAGCCAGTTTCTACACTGGTCCTGAGCCAATCCTGGGAAGGGGCCATCCCTGTGTGGGCTACAGTTTCCTTCTGGATGCTTCCTTTAATGTGGTAAATCAGAAATGAGCCCCCCCCCCCTCCCCGGGCTTCAGTCTGTTTGGCTGTAAGGAAATATTGTCAGCCCTACCTCGGTCCCAGACACAACAGGTGTGGTTAAATGAGAGGGAGGGTGTATTCTGCATGGGTTGTGACTAGAGTATCTGCATGGGTACTTTCTTTTTCTTTTCCTTCTTTCTTTCTTTCTTCTTTCTTTCTTTCTTTCTTTCTTTCTTTCTTTCTTTCTCTCTCTCTCCCTCCCTCCCTCCCTCCCTCTTTCTTTCTTTCTTTCTTTCTTTCTTTCTTTCTTTCTTTCTTTCTTTCTTTCTTTCTTTCTTTCTTTCTTTCCTTTCTTCTTTCTTTCTTTCCAAGACAGGAACTTACTTAGCTCTGGCTGTTTTGGAACTCACTATGTAAACCAGGCTGGACTCACAGAGAACTGCCTATCTCTGCTTCGCAAGTGCTGGGATTAAAGGCGTGCACCACTATGCCTGGCTTCATTTTCATTTATTAATTTCCATTGCTTCATAAGAAGACAGGACTGGCTTTCCTCCAGGTACGGTCTTTGATCCTATAGGACTTGACCGGCTGGTGGGCAGAGACAATGGGTGGCCTTCTGCACCTACTGACACACAGAATTCAGAGAGGAGTGTGGCTCTGAAGAGCTGGAGCTTTCAAAACGTGTGTGTACATGAGTGTATACACATGTATATAACTATGGTGTGTGTGCCCTCTGTACCCTGCCTCTGCTTCTATAAATTCATCTGTGGCTGGAAAACATTTGAAAAAGAAAATCTGCTCTGAATGTGTACTTATTTTCCACTGATGTTATTATTCCCTAAATGATATGGCATAATAATAATTTTTATAATAATATTCATAGTGTAATAGGTATTGCAAGTTAGTTAGAGATGCCCCGAAACAGGATGTGCTTAGGTTTTATGCAAATTGTATGCCATTTGAATAATTCATATATTTCTATTTTAAGACAGGAGATTGCTGTCTGAGTTGGTGTCAGATGCCTGGATTCAAGCCTCTGCTTTTGAAATAGTGGGATTCTAGCCACCCACCACTCACCAGGCTCCTGCACCATTTTATGTAAGGAACTTGAGCACTCACAGATGTTGATGGTTCCAATCTCCCACAAACACTAAGGGATGGCATTTAAAAGCCAATCTAGCAAAGGAGCTAAAATGTTACCATAATGTCATGTGGATGTAACGTCTACAGACATTCTCTGTGTTATTTTGTTTTTTTTTTTGCAACTTTAAATTTATTTATTTATTTATTCCAATTATTTTTTATTTTATTATGTTTTAAAATTTATTTCCAAATTTTCAAAAAATAATGTCAATGGGGCTGGGTGTGGTAGCACACACCTTTAATCTCAGCACTTGGGCAGCAGAAGCAGGTGGATGTCTGCGAGTTTGAGGTCAGCCTGGTCTACAAAGAAATTCCAGGACACCCAAGGCTACACAGAAAAATCTTGTTTTAAAAAACAAACAGACAGACAAAAAAAATGGCGAGGGTATGTGGCTTGTTTGAGGACACAGAACAAGCTAACATCTGGGCCTTGGAAGCCCCATGCAGGAAAGCCTCACTTGCCATGTCCTACAGTCTCTGGACTGGTATGATCTGACTCAGCTAAAATACCAGTTCTTGAAGGCAATGTTCCCTGGCCACTCAGTTCATATGCCTCAGTTTCTCATGCTTTCCTTCCACATACTAGGACAGACAGAAGTGAATCGTTCTTCTCTTGACCCGCACTTTTGCTGAACTGTAAGCCCCATGAGGACAACCTCTCATTCCCAGCTGAATCCTGACAGCACACAGTGACGGGTAAAAGTGAGCGACCCAGTGAGCCACAGATAGACACATGGATGCACACATGTCAACACGCTTCTGCTCTGTTTTCTTTGAAAGTTCAATTGTTCTGTGTGCCTTGGGGATGTGAGGAGCAAGAACTGAGAGGGCTGCCAACAGGAAAGCGTGATGTCTGTGGAAAGGACAACTGAGAGCGAAAGACACCCTTTGGGAAGATAGGAGGTTGGCCCTTCCTGGCGACCTGCCCACAAAAGCTTCTTTGGGAGAGAATGAAGCTCTTGCAAGCAGGTGACATGGGGATCCCAGAGCTGGGATAGAGACAGTGCAGGAATGAGAGTGGAAAGTACCGTCTTTCCAGAAACAACAACAACAAAAAGCCCTTTAGGGTTACTCGATATCATGTCTTCCTGCCCTGGACCACTGCTAAGCATCCCTCTTTTTATTGTGGACAAACATCAACAACACAGACCTGCATCTGCTCCTGATGGGGAAGGAGGCAAGTGGGTGTGGAGCAATGGACAGGGCAGGCTTATGGCCGGAGTACGCCCATTAACCAAGGAATTGTTATTTGCTTTTCTAATACCTATCACATCTCACACTCTGAAGTCACAAAGCATGGAGACAAAAGTCAAACGTATTATGAAATGTGCCTTTCTCCCGTCACTCCCCCCTCTCCCTACATTCATCTCGTTGCCCTTACTGATGTTCTCAGCTTTTCAGGATGGCTTGGAATGGAACGTTTAAGCATATTCAACTGGAGGAATCCAGCACAGAGTCCCACAAACACTGCTTGTACCCTGCTGTGTTCACTTAATGATATTTTCTATGAGAGTCTGTGACAGTGTCTTTGGTTGGGTTCTGTTTGTTGGTTTCACAGTGTCTCCCCATGTGCTGGGAGCAAGGCCCTAATATCTGAGGAGTCAGGCTTCAGACTTTCAGGGAGCCTTTTCTTGTTGTAGTAGCAGAGAGTATTGAGGTATGATGGAACGTGAAGGAACATCAGGCCTGTACCGCCGAGCATCGTTACCGCTAACCACACAGCAATTGCCACATGAAATGTGCCTGGTCCAGTCAAGACTGGCTTACAAAGGTAAAATGCAAACTAGACTTTGAAGGTTTAATTTTAAAAGGTAAACCGTCTTATTCAATACTTTTAAAAAACATTTATTGCAAGTCAAATTGTATTTTAAATATATCATCCACTATATTAAATATGTGATAAATCAGTTTTACCTGTTTCTTCTTCTAATATGTAGTAACTAGATAATTCTAAATTCTGGTTGTAATTTGTGTGTATGTATGTACACAATACACTTCCACTGAACTAGGCTCCCCTACAGACTTGGAAATAGGTGCCACTGAAGGTTGGAAGAGCTGGTGGGGCAGGAAAAGGAAGCAAAGGAAAAAGAAGGAATAAGAGCAGCTGCCTGGGTCCTCTTGGCTTCCCCCTTCCTCATGTATGTAAGACCATGAAGGGGATAAGAGCAGGAGGGCACTTTGCTTTGTCCCCTCTGTTGCTGGCATGAAATGGGTGCTTGCCAAGTGAATTAATGGAAGGGGGGAGATGGAAGTTCACCTTTTTCTTTCTGGGGAAGTGTAGGCTTGGAGGTTCCTGATGGTACCTTTGAAGATGCCTTTGTCCATAAAACCAAGGCTCATAACACAGGAGGGCCTCTGTGTGCCAGCAGGATCACCTCCTGTTTCTTCACTCCATTGCAAAAGAATGACCTAGAGGAATGGCTGAGTGAGGTTTCTCCTCCCTTTTGGCAACATGGACTACACAGAGAGCCTAGCCAGGGTGGCCTCTTCCCTTCTGCCCTTTCTGGGATAGGTAATGGCCTAAGGAAAAATGGGCCCAGCAGGAACCCACTCATACCAAAGGCACGTGTCCAGTCTCTCTCTAGAGGATGCTCAGGCAGGACATCTCTCTTGGTCTCTCCTCCCTGGGCTTGAAGAAACCAGGCTCAGTCCTGAGGGAGGCTTGAGGAGCCTGCAGGCTGGGCTCAGCAGCCAGCCGCAGCAGCCCCTAAATCATTCATGCAGGAGTGGGACAGGCCAGGCGGCACGGAGGGGATTTTCATAGATTATATTGAAAGAATTACAATGGTGAGGGAGGGAGCTGGGTTCCCACAGTGTCCGGTCGCTCCTGTGGGGGCTGTGGGAGCCGGCCCTGGCTGCCTCTTTCTCTCTGGGCAGCAGCACACACAGTTTTTAATAATTAAGTGACTTTAATTGTCCTGGGAAAGCTGAGCTTGCCTTGGGGCACGCTGCACAAACTCATAATGTTACCAAGAGAGATTAACAAATGAGAACTGAGAAATGATTCTCTTTTTAAAAGCGCCTCACTGTTAAGCCTTATTATCCAAAGTTTAGAACCTCATTTATCTGGTTTGAGGGGGGGTAGGGAGGGGAGACCCAAGACCCAGAAACTAATTCATGTGAAATTAAAACTCCATGCCTCTGCAATGAAGTTTTTAAAACACCAGACAGGAAAATGTTGCCATTTATTGATTCTGTTTTGGTGACTTAAGGGGGGGTGGGGGAGGACACTCAAGACAGAAGAATTAATACATAATAATATATCAATTAAATTTTTTTTTTTTTTTTTTGTGCATCTGTTGCTTAGAAATCATCTCAGTTTAGTGTTTGGGAGGAATTTTTTTCCCCGGCTCTTTAAGAAATTATTCTAAATTCTATCATTTCAATGACTATATAAACTGATACTAGCAATATGTGTGATTGGCACATGAGTGCACAGTAAATAATTGATGAACTAATGAGCACAGTAACGAAAGGAGGAAGGACCTCAAAAAAAAAAAAGGATTGTCCTCACACAAATATCCTTGGTCAATATGAAGGGCAAGCCCGGAGGAGAGGTCTGTGGCCTGGACAAAAGGAACCTGATGCGGGAGACAGGACCTCAAGAGAGACACAGGTGGGGAGGAAGGGCGGGGAGGCTTGAAAATTAGGGGAAGAGTAGATCTGTATGCGTAATTAACAGTCCCTTATAGTTGGATTGATTGCCCTGGACTGTGGCATCTTCCTAGCCAACTCCTAGTGACTCCATGGCACTGACCTCGCTTTTTCTTCCATCCACATCACAAGCATTTGTATCCTAAATGGTAAGTGTCCCAGTTTTTGTGAGCATGGTCGAAGACTTTTTTTTCTCAGCAGTCAATCAACACTGACTAGATGCCTTTATGTTCCATGGACCGTGGCTCTAGACCAGTGGCTCTTACCTGTAGGTCCTGACTCCTATGAGGGGTCAAACACCATCGGAAAACACAGATGTTTACATTAGGATTCATAACAGTAGCAAAATTACAGTCATGAAGTGTCAATTCATAAAAATGGGTGAAAAGACAACAGTAGACAGTCCTGATCGACTTTCCAGGGACCTCTATGGGGGGGTCATGTTTAGGGGTGCATCTTTGCTTCTGTCTCACCTGAGGTTTCATTTCTACCTCAGTTCTTACTCAGTGTCCCTCAGATGTGGCTCAAGCGGCCCCTCCCCCTGAGTCTTAGAGTAGGAGCTGGGGAAGCCATTTGTCCTAAAGCGTCACCTTGACTGTGCACAGTTGCCCTTGCCGGAGCTTGCTGTGCCCTGACTGTCAGCTGATGTACAGAGAGCTCCTGGTAGCTAAACAAGGATGGTGGCTGATTAAGCTCAAGGTGTGATTTCTCTCAGGGTCTGTCTATGTCACAAATGTAGACAGTAATTTTCTTCCAGGTGCTTTGTGCCCTCGTGTCCATTTCTGATTGAGCCTGTCACCTAAAGGAAAAGTGGAGAAGGGTCTTCGAGGAGGCGCAGGAGAGCTCCACCACATAGAGGTCCCAAGCATCTGGAAACCAAGACTGTGAGTATTGAGGTGCCAGGTGCCAGGAAAAGCACCCTGGCCCATGGCTGGCCAGGCTCAGCCGTAATGGATTAGAGTCACTCTGTAAGGGACATTGACTGGCTAGGAGCACCAGTCAGGAGAGCAGACTCTGAAAATAACTATCTTTGCTAATAATGACCCCAGCTCCCACCCCCAACCCAACATTAGCTATTGTGAAGAATGTGTGTGTTTCCTTTATCAAAATGGCGGCAACCCATGCAGATCAATGCACTGTGATTCTTTCTTTCTTTCTCTCTCTCTCTCCCTTTTTTAAGACAGGGTTTCTCTGTGTAGCCTTTGGCTGTTCTAGACTTACTTTGAGGACCAGGTTGGCCTTTAGCTCACAGAGACCCACTTGCCTCTGCCTTCCTGAGTGCTGGGATCACAGGTATGTACCATGGCTCCCGCTCGAACTGTGGTTTCCTTAACTCCTAGACTTCTTGTGGGCCCACTCCATATCAGAGTACAAAGAGCAGTGCCAGTATCTGTACGTGGCCAGTTAGCATTTAGTTTTATTTAGTCAGAATAATTTTTTCCTTCATCTTTTATTTTATGAGTATGGGTATTTGGGCTGCATGCAATGTCTATGTGATAAACATGTTCAGTGCCTGTGGAGGCCAGAAGGAGGCACTGCATTCCCTGGGACTGGAGTTGTAGACAGTTGTGAGCTGCCATGTGAGTGCTGAGAACCAAACCCAAGCCTTCTGGAAGAACAACCAATGCTCTCAACCTTCGAGCCATCTCTGCAGCTTGCTCAAAATGTATATGTAGCCCAGGCATATCCTAACAGTGTGCTATCCACACACACCCCTTTCTTAAGTATTTGTCTACTGATAGACCTTGGGTAGTTGGTTTTGAGTTTGTTCGTTTGTTGCCTTAACAGACAAACCTGACATTGTCTGTTACTGTAATCTGGGGACAGAACATTGAGAGACAAAATTTCCTGTTCTTAATCTGCAATTAAATTAGTTTCTTGACTTTGGGCAAGTGCCACTGCCATTGTGGGCCTCAGTTTCTGTCAAACAAGGCCACTGAGCTCTATCTGGTGTTTAGTGCCCCTTGTAAATGCCTGTTTCTTACCCCATGAGGCTCCCCAAACCCCACATACCGTGGGGAACCATAGAAAGAGCCAGCCCCAGCTGTGGCTGTGGGTGGGGCAGCCAAGCTGGGTGATGGGATAAGCCTCCCTCCTTGCTTAGCTCTGTGATGCAACATTGAACTCAGACAAGTTTGGCCTTGCTTTCCCCTGGGTCCAGCGTGATTCAGGGCCTATAGCGTGGCTTCGACACTAGCCGATGAGCTGCAGACACCTTTCTTGGCAATGGTCTTAACGAGGGCTCTGGGAATGTCTGGTTATTCATCTGTTTTGCAAGGGTGGTGAGCGCTCAGAGAGAAGGAGGCAGACAGCGTGGCTTCCTTCCTGAATTAATGACTTCAGCCTCGTGAATGAATCATCAGTTCTATGCCCAGGAGAACTGGGTGGTTGAGTTGGGGCTGGAGTGTCAGGAAGGTGGATGGTACCAGGGGTGGGATGTATGTCCCCATCCTCCTTTGGATGTCTTTGGGTCTTAATGGCCTGTAAAGGCATCAGAACAGGGGCCAGATGTCCTATCCAGATGCCTCTGTCCACTGTCTGCTCAGGAGTCACAAACATCCCCTCTCGTCTTAGCTTCAGTCATGCAGGAGAAAGCTAAATGCTTAGGGAAGAGTCTCATGGTGAGAGGGCTGAACCTGTATTGTCAGTGGACGCTGCTGTGTACCGATGAGGACTCTTTTGTATTAACCCTTCACGCAGAGAAGGCATTAAGGTGGCAATTGGAATAAGAACTACAGATGAATGACTTCTTCAAGGGATGTCTGTACTACCTAGGGTTTCTAAATGGGGTTTCTTCACCCTATTTAGCTCAGCTTATTGTAGATTCCAGCACCAATGGAGACTGGGACTGAATATACCTTCTTTAAGGCAGAGTGTGTGGCCTCCTTCTGTTGTTCTTTTTTGAAGTTGCTTTTTGAGGTCTTCCGGGCCTGTCTCTGGCCCTGCCCCCTGCTTTCCCGTGGGTGTTGGACAGCTATTTGCAATTCCCTGAGGCCATGCCCATATTGTCACATTCCCACAGGTTGCATGTGGGCCTCACATGGCAGGCCTCCCTGGCCTTTGTTCCAGAAGTCCCAAAATATGTTCATTTAGTCTGGGAGTTGGTTCCCCTGTGTCCTCTTCTCCTGGGCTCATGTGGAGTCCTCCCTGTACTCCTAGACTCTCTGAGAAAATGATTCCTTTCCTACTAGCTCCTTGCTGGGGCCCGTGTCATTCCACAGTCGGTGGAGGATAGAGAGGACACCATGTCACATGGGTGCTTGATTGCTGAACAGATGGATGGATGGTAGCTATCCCAGGCAAGCCCATCTTACCTTAAAAACTGAAATTTCTCTTTCTCCGTCTGTCATCACTTGCTGGACAGAGCCTCACCTTTCTCGGAACAATGATAGCCAAGTCTCATCAGGTCTGAGAAGACCTGTGGGGTGGCCCGTCAGCTTCCTGCCCCAAGCATGGAGACTGCATTGGTATCTATGAAATCATCTTAAGAGAAAAGTCTTTAGTGATTCAGGACAAGGACCCCTGCTTGGGCTTTCTCTAGGGGAATCCCCACAGACTCACTTCACACATTCAGAGTAGACTACAGAGACTCTCCCCAGGAAGGAGGCAGGCCTCTGCTAAACAGGAAGTGAAAGATTTGTAATTTCTTGAGAAGCCTAGGGCTCAGGTTAAGATGTCCTGAAGAATGACCCCCATCTGAGCTTTGGGCCTGGGCAGCTGCCTCTTCTGCTTCCTGTCAGCCACCTTTTGGCTGAGGTGGCAGAAGCCCAGCTCTCCACACAGAGATAATAATGCTGTCCTAAGTAACTGAACCAACACGTGCATTTTCTGAGGTGAAAGGGAAAGCTACAGGATCACACATCATGGTCACTAATATGGCTGACTAAGAGGGCTTCGCCCCAACCCCCCCCCACCTTAATCTCTTCTGTTCTGTTTTCTATCCCCTCTCTTTCCCCTTTGCTGTGCTTTTATAACACCAAATTACTGCAATCACAGGGCATGGGTGGTATTTTTTTTTTTTTTTCTTTAGAAATCCTCTTCCAGGCAACTGTGTAAAAGATGTTTTCATACTTTGGGCTGAATGGGAGGAGAGGGATAAAAAAGGCTTAGTTCCCAAGTTGAGTATTTCTCTGAAAACAGCCATATGAATGCTCGGCTTGTCAGGCTTAGTTGAGGGAACATGGCATCCTGCCTGCTGAGCCTGAAGACCCGACAAGCCGGTGTGTGTGTGAGTGTGTGTGTGTGTGTGTGTGTGTGTGTGTGTGTGTGTGCCCCAATGGCTGAGCAAATGGGGTGTGGGAAGGGCAGGAGAGCTGTGTGTCACGTAATGGGACAACAAGGAGTGCTATCCGGGAGCACTGGGTATGCTCTCTCCTAGAAGAGGCTCCTCAGACCTGAACTTGATATAGGCAAAGCCAGACGCCAACCCAAGGATGCCCTTGGGCCCTCTCAGCAGGAGAGCAGGCACTGTCAGCATTGGCACATAAACCAGCTGCTGAAATTCATCCCTGCCCACAGCCTACAACAGCAGCGACTTGCAGAGAAATTGCCTCGTTCCGGCTGCTCAGCTGAGCCCAATTCCTTTCCCCTGGGAGGTGCAGCATGGGGCTGTAGCAAGTAGTCCTGGAAAACCACCAGAGAACTGTGGAGTGAACGGCTGACTCTTAAGGGGTAAGCGAGGGTGGGGGCTGAGTCAGATCTGCTAGCTCATTCCCAGGTGGATGGTCATCTTTTTGGCTGGTGGAGACACACATAGGAAGGCAGACACACTCATGGAAGGCAGCCTGGGGGAGATCCAAACCAAAAGAAGTGTGAATAACTGTCTTTCTAGAATGTGCTTCAAACATTCGCACCAGGTGAGAACATGACCGAAGATATTCATTGTCTGACTTTCCAAGGGAAGTTTCCTAAATCCCTTTTCCCACCCATTTTTAAATTATTATCATTTATTACAATTTATTCAATTTGTATCCTGGTTGTGGCCCCTCCCTTCCCTCCTCCCAATCCCACCCTCCTCCTCTTATGCCCCTCCTCTAGTTCACTGATAGAGGAGGTCCTTCTCCCCTTCTGTCTGATCCTAGCCTATCAGGTCTCATCAGGACTGGTTTTATTGTCTCCCTCTGTGGACTGACAAGGCTGCTACCCCCTCAGGGGGAGGTGATCAGAGAGCCTGCCACTAAGTTCATGCCAGAGAAAGTCCCTGCTCCCCTTACTAGGGACTCCACTTGGAGACTGAGTCTATGGGCTACATCTGAGCCAGGGGTTTTAGGTCCTCCATGCACTGTCCTTGGTTGGGGTATCATTCTCTTCAGAGCCCCCAGGGCTCAGTTTTTATGGCACTGTTGGTCTCCTTGTGGAGCTCCTGTCTCCTCCAGTTCTATGTCCCCCTTCTTTCCTAAGATTCCCTGCATTCTGCGCAAAGTTTGGTTATGAGTCTCAGCCTCTGCTTTGATACCTGGATCAGTAGAGTCTTTCAGAGGACATCTGTGGTAGGCTCCTGTCCTGCTTACCACCCTCTTAACTGATCTTGTTCTAGGATGCATTCTTGACTGGAGAGAGTGCAAGTCACACAGTCGGTCTTTTGGCACATACATTTTAAAGTTTAATTGAAACACAGCTGTTTCTTTCTCGACATCAGTGACCCCAGGGCCTCGCCATACAGAGGGGGCTAATGGAGGCTCAGAAAGCTGAATTAGCCTGCTCCCGCCCTCGTTCCTGGAGAGCAGTTAACAACCTGTAAAGTTGAGGCTCTTTCCACAGGTTCCAGGATAACCTGTGACTCTATTAACCTCAACAAGGTGTGCCGCCATGCCAGGAGGGAAAGGATTCCAGGGCTCAGGGAGAGGCAGATTCTTTGCCCTTGCTATCTCCAAAGTCAGTATAAGCTGTCTCCCTCACTTCTCTGTGTGAGTGCTGAGCCCTCTCTTTGTCACAGAAGGTGCAACATGTCTAAACAGAGCAAAGGCACTGAACACACTTTTTTTTTTTTTAAGACAGGATTTCTCTGTGTAGCCTTGGTTTTCCTGGACTCAATTTGTAGACCAGGCTAGCCTCGAAGTCATAGCGATCAGCCTGCCTCTGCTTCTCTGAGTGCTGGGATTAAAGCATGCACCACTAGGACCGGCTTTTTGGTTTTTGTTTTTGTTTTTTTTTTAATTTTGAGACAGTATTTCTGTGTAGTCTTCAGCTGACCTGGAACCTGTTCTGTAGACCAGGTTGGCCTCAGACCCGCAGAGATCTTCGTGCCTCTGCCTCCTGAATGCTAGGATTAAAAGCATGCACCACCATGCCTGGCACATGCTCACATCTTAATCCCGCAACCTCTGACTATGATATCGAGGGCAAAGGGAAATGAAGACTGCATCTGTAGCTAAGTGTGCTGGTAAGTCGGCCTAAGGTGTGCCAATGAGCCTGGACTTCCTAGATGGCCCAGGGCCGTCACAACAGTCCTTACAACGAAATCCGCAGGTAGCGTTAGGATCAGAGCCACACCGTGTGAGAAAGGCTTGAACAACCATGGCTGGTTTGGAAGATAGAGGCGGGGGCCAGCTAGCGAAGGACTGCAGGGAAAGATGGAGACGGTGGAAGACCAGAGATTCTCCTAGAACCTCTGGAATGAAAACACATCCTGGCCAACACCTTGACTTAGTCCAGGGAGACCGTGTTAGACTGCTAACTCATATATACTCTGTGTGTTTGTTTGTGCGTGTGAGTGTGTGTGATATTCTGTATGTATGTGTGTACACATATGTGTGTGCTGTTTTAAGTTGCTGATTTGTAGTAATTTGCCATGGAAGAGATAGGAAATGAACACAAGGTCAGCAGCAGCAGGATCCCAGAATGCATACCTGTGCCCTGGATCCCAGAGACTGAGACAGAGTAGCAGCTCCCATGATGAAGCTCTCCTCTTTTACCCTACTCTGTGGCCAGGAGGCAGCTCAGTGGCTTGCAGACTCACACCAGCGCCTTGCCTGGGCTTGACAGTGCAGGTCTATCATTCCTTCCCCTGTGAAACTGACCCTCCCTCACACACGTCTTCAACCTTGACCATCAGAGGACAGAAGCCTGGAGGTTAACGCTTTCCTCTCACTTATGGGTGGACAGCTCTGGGGCTACGTTTACCAGACTTCTTGAGAATTTCCTGAGGCACCAGGCCCTGCTTTCTCCTGAGGTAGTTGCTCAGGAACTGCTTCCTGTATGTCTCTCCTGTTGCACGCACTCTCACACTACTAACTCCTGATCCATGCAGTTGCCCCGGGACAAACACCTGTATATGAGCCTTTGTCCACAGGCCAGATGCAGAGGAAATCAACATGTCTCAACATAACAGCAGCCCAGGTATTACTTGCCCAGGAGGGTGCCTCTGCCCTATCTCCTGAGTCAAAAGATGCTCCCGAGGATCCGTGGTGTCCCTGCCCTAAGACTCACGGAGGGTGGCATGAACACACCTCTGTCCCCAGTTGCTGGCAGAGGACTGGAGGATGCTTGTGGTTGAGTTTGGAGGTGGTGGATAAGGTCCACAGGGGATCTTTTGAGGCCCTCAGCCCCTGGATGTTCAGTTGCTTGAGTCCAGCCTCCCTCAGAGAGTAGCCAGTGGCCCGATCATTCAGAACAGATGTTCTCCTGATGAACTTAATTGCATCATTAGCGGCCTGGCTACAAAAACCGGGTGATTTGAGAGCTGCTGGGAAGCAGGGAGCCTCCAGGGCAGCTGTTCCCAGGGCGGGCTGAACATGCCTTTGCAGTGGGTCCTTCCTGTCCCCACCCCCAACACCGACCTCTCCAATTCTAAGTCTTTCTCACCAGCCAGGACCAGAACAGATGGAAACAGACCTCGTGGGCATCTCCAGCTGATGTGGATTCCACAGCAGGCAGAAGAGTGAGGGGGGCAGGCAGCATAGCCCCTTCCCACGGCCACTTGGGAGGCCACACTGTCCAGCTGTCCACTCTCACTCATGTGAAAGGGGTAGGACTTGAGACTTTGGGGTCCGGTGGTGTATGGGTGGGGACAGGGAATGAAGAAGCTAGAAACACACACTGCTCTAGGGCATTGCACATTTAAGCCTGAGTTCCAAAGAGCTGAGCAGGTTGTGGGGAACAGGGAGCTAACCTTAGTGCTTCGGCCAGAGCAGCACTTAGTTCCAGCCTTATCGTTCAGCGCGCTATGTACAAGGCTGGACTCCTCACCAGCCACAGATGTTCCTTCTCCAGCCCCCATTTGCTGCACACTAGCCTCTGCTGTTTTCTCTCACTCACACCTCCACTCTGCTCCCTGGAAGCCCAGATACCCCAGGTCTCTCAGAAACTATCAGCGCCCAGCTTGCTGTCTGTATTTCCTTACTCTGAGGTCGCTTGTCTGTGTTGTTTAAATGGAACTGGTCACGTTATGTCTGGGACAGCTTCTTCTGTACTTGGCCATGTATTTTCATCGTGCAGGTCCTCCTTCGAGCAGGGGTGGCATTGTCTTGGCTCCATAGTTCCTAAGGACATATATGGCTCTGTTTTGTTCCTTCAACGTACGTCCAAAAGCCAGTATCAAATGTCCTTCCTGAAGACTGGATGAACTCAGGTCAACTGTAACAAAACAGTCAATGGCCAGCAGTTCACGACACATTTGTCACTCATGGTTCTGGAGTCTGGGGAGCCCTCAGTCAAGGTGAGAACCCATGTAGCAACTGGTAAGGGTCCTTCCAGGGTTGTAGAAAGCTACTGTCTCACTGTGTCCTGTCCTGAGCAGGCAGTGATCCTATCACAGCCCCCCCCTCCCCCTCACAGGCAACCAATTCAGCCTCTGTAGATGCCAGGACACTAGGATCAGGCTTCAGTATGTGAGGGGGAACAGAAACACCCAACTGGATCAAAACCAAAACCAAACCTAGCTTATAATTGCAGCAACCCCCAAATTCAGTTGCTACACCTCTGTGCTTCCTTGTGTGCGACAGGCTTTGGCTGGAGGCTGGGGCGAGGTCAGGGATGAGTGACCCAGTTACTGCTGGCTGTTGCTGCTGCCATGTGTCAGCAGTACCAGGAGAGGATTTGTTCAGAAGGGGGACATGCTAATGACGGCTGATCCCCCCTCCTGGGGGGGGTCCTCTATCACCCACTCTAGGCAATCGTGAAATACAGATTTCGTGGTCATCAGGTTGAGAGTTGAGCAGCCACTTCAGCTTCCAGCTGGTTCATTTTTAGTCTTATTACACAATATAGTCTTATAATTTTTTTTTTCCCTGAGATAGGGTTTCTCTGTGTAGCCTTGGCTGTCCTGGCTTTGTAGACCAGGCTGTCTTCAAACTCACAGAGATCCACCTGCCTCTGCCTCCCTGAGTGCTGGGATCACTGGCGTGCACCACCACACCCAGCCCTTATACAGTACGATTATTGTTTTATATTGTATTTCATTGCAGTATAGTTGTTGGAGAAAAACTCTCATGTATTCGAGGCTGGCCTCTAACTCACCGCAGAGCTAAGGATGGCCTTCAACTTCCAATCTTTCTGTCCTACTTCCCTGGTGCTAGGATTATGGATGTGTGCTGTGCATACAGTTCAATCTCCCATCAAACCCAGGGCTTCAGCTGTGCATGCTAGACTGCAACCAGCCTGTCTTTTTCAGAACTTCCAACCCCCTTTCCCCCCCAGTTCATAGGGCCTAAGCATCTATTGGATGGTGGTGGTGGTAGATAGACAAAAGAACTTGTGATGACCAACACAGCAGCTTCTGTACACACACAGCCACTTAGGTTTGCTTAAACTCATTAGAATGTAATAAAATGAATAAACCCGGGTCTGATTGGCCACATCTGTGAAGCTCAGTAGCTGCTGGGCCATCCTCAGGGTGCGGAGACTCATCCCTTTCATCTTTCAAACTGCCTTGAGAAAAGATGAGCCTGAGAACAGAAAAAGCAGCCACACCGCTCAAATACTAGTCTCTACTGTTCCTGGGAGGCCCGCCCTTCCATTCCCTAGCATAGCCATGCTGGTCTGTGAAAAAGTCTGTGTCTAAGGCCTCTTTGGGTCATCCGAAGCAGCTGTCCAGGGAATTTCAGGGCATCCCAGGGATAGTCGCTGTACACACAGGCTCCCATGCCAAGAGCCAGAGTTGGCAGACTGAAGAGGAAGCCCTCATGGACATCATTACTCCTTTCTTCTCTCAGACTTCACTGTCCTGTGCACAGGGTAGTGGGCCGAGAGAGATGAGAGATCCAGGCTCCTGTGTAAAAATCTGCCCAGAACTTAAATGTAATAGACTCGGTTCACTTCAGTAAAAATCTTTTTATGGTGCTGGGTGTGGTGGCTCACACCTTTAATTGCAGCACTCGGGAGGCAGAGGCAGGCAGATCTCTATGAGTTCAAGGCCAGCTTGATTCACAGACTGAGTTCCAGGACAGCCAGGGGTGCACAGAGAAACCCTGTCTTAAAAATCAAACAACAAAACGAAACAAAATCTTTTTATGCAGCAGTGGTCAACGGAGTCAGGTGACATGCTTTTCTCTCTGGCTCTCTCCTTACATTTGGATGTTGGCTTCATCAAGCCTCCGAATGCCTCCTGGGGAAGGTGGGCTTGGAGCTGAGAAGGGACAGAGAAATAATCTGAGCATCTGCTTCCTCTTCTTAAAGAACATGGATGAAGTGCTCTCTAAGTCCACGGTGGAGAGGTAGCTTGAATCGTTTTGCCGTATAGAGTGTGGTTAGCCCTGTAAGTGTGACCCCATGAACAAGTGTCAGCGGGAAAAGGAGTAGCCGCACCGGACACCTTGCCAAGAGCCTTCGGAACGCCCCTCTCTGTAGCAGGGTTGCAGGATTTCCTCCCTCAGGCTCCCCGTGGTCTTGAGGCCTTGGCAATGGTCATTTCACAGGCAAGTGGGGATGCCTACTTCTGCCCCCTTAGGCTCATGTGTCTCTGTTTCCTTGGTGGGGTCAGCAAAGGGAAACGATTTCTCCTGGCCTCAGTGAATGCCAACCATTGAAAAGGCCCCTGATGAGGTTGGTATAGCTTCTCTCATTTGGGGAAACTGAGGACCGAAGAAGGGAAACAAACCCCTTTGAGGCCCCATGAAGCAAAGCAGGGGCTTGGCCTGTCCTGCATTCTTGTACTTCTGGCATCTGAAGAACAGAAAGGGAGGGAGTCCTGCTGTCTGCCACACATTCTCTGAGATGATCTGTCAAGGGAGAAAAAAAAAAAAAAAAAAAAAAGAACCCCACCAGCGAACAAGCCATCCATTCTTGTCTGCACCATTTCCCCACATCAGGGGCAGACTGCAATGTTGCAATGAAAAATTCAGATTTTCCTTTCATGTTTCCTTTCACAGCACTGGGGACTAAATGCCTTTCTTCTCCCCCCCTTTTCTTTGGCAGGATACTGACCACGGTTACAGAAAAAGAATCTTTCAGAGACATATATATCTACCTATCGATACACATTCAGCCCCCAACAGCAGCAGGGAATTGCAGCGCCTCTTAATTACCCAGGAAGTGACAGGGTCAAGAGGTGTCTGCAAGCTGCCTTGTGGTTCTGGGCATTGATTTCTCGACATTGTCGCTGCTGGAGTGCAGAGCCACAGCCGCGTGGGGTTTTGTCCACTGTTTAAATTTCTCCCTTTCTTCCTTCCCTCCCTCACTCATTTTGCTTTTGAATTTGAAAAGAAACTTCTGGCACATTGAGCGTAGACTGTAAATTCATAAAGGCAGGAGATCTTTGAGGTTGACTGACCTGCCATAATTACCACTTGGGCACAGAAGAGGAGGCCACAGACTGGAGGAGACGCCCTCTCTGGTCCCCACCACCACCTTCCCTGTGCCTCTCTTTACTTCCTTCTTATTATGTTAGGTTCTTCCAAAGGGAAAAAAAAATGACAATTAAAAAAAATGAATGTCCACGAAGAGTCGCTGGTTGTCCTTAAGTGGTGCACACTGAGACAGATGGCAGCCTTAGGGTATTGGAGAGAGCTGGTTTGTAACCACGGTCATTAGTTATAATAAAATCAACTAACCAATCAAACAAACAAACAAATAAAACAGAACTAAAGGTGTTCTTGGAAAGTGTGGATCCAAGTTTGAGAAACTCCCAGGACCAGTATTGTTAAATTGTATTTTGACTTAAAGAAGCTGGGACCAGGGCATCTAAAACTCAGTAGGACCCAGAGTGTTCTTCAGTAAGAACTACTGCTTATGGGCCCTGAGTGCAGACATGGCTAATTCTCTGTCTGGTTGTAGGGGAGCTTTTCACGACATTGCCAAATCCTAGCAAACGTTAGTAAGTCCCAGTGAGAAGGGAAGTCAGAGCCAACAGTGTGAAGAAAGGCCTCCAGTTCTTCACTCTCCAGATGTGTTTAATGCCCCTGGGAAAGAATCTGGAACACCACATTTGTTTTCCTTCCTTTTACATATGAGACTTCGAGTAGTGTAAAAGTTTCATGAAAAGAAGACTGAAGACTCAAGGCTGGGGAGATGGCTCAGTGGTGGGTGGTTCAGAGCACCGGCCAGTCTTCCAGAGGGACAGGGTTCAGTTTCCAGTACTCACAAGCTTACAGCCATCCATACCTGCAGTATAGGAGAGTTAACACCTTCTGACCTCTGAAGGCATCAGGCCGCATGTGATGCAGACATTCAAAGATGCAAAACACTCATACACATAAAGAAATGAGTCTTAAGGAAGAAAGAGAGAAGAGAAGAAAGAGAGAGAGAGAGAGAGAGAGAGAGAGGCAGATTATTCTGAGTGGCCAGTGCTGTTCTGGAAGGTTGGAGGGCAGGGAAACAGCCATCTTTACTACAGAGAGCTTGAAAGAGGGTGAAGGTGAGAGTTGGAAGGGCTGGAGCGGCAAGACAATGGGTAGCACATTTTGTTGCAGGAAAGCACGTATGTAGAAAACATGGAAAAGCAAAAGGAAGCCCCGTGGTGTGCCCCATGAAGTTCTAGCAGTGTGTTTCCAGTTGCTCTCCAGGGTTCTATAACAAGTTTTATAACCATGAAAAGTCAAGGAGACATAATATCCCTAAGAGACTAAGTAAGGGGAAGAGTGAGAAAAGAGACAAGAAGCCTGCATACCTTCCGGAGCCCTGCCTTCCTCCTTTCCTTGGCCACTTTTCTGGGATGGCAGTAACGGCCGGTGGAGGCCTTTGCAGTGGCCCAGGCCTCATGGTCTTCCTTCTTGGGCTGTGGTGTATAGAGGACACACTGGATGACTATGGAGGCCTGCTCCGGGGACTGGGCCTAGCGCCTCATGGGGCGTGTGACCTGGGAGACTCCATCAGCACTGTTAAGATAATGTCACTGAAGTGCTATGGTAAGGACTTATTACAGTGGAGTATGAAAAAAACCATCCAAACGCTGAGGTCCTCACCTGGCATACACTTTCACAGCCTCTCACCTCATCCTGAAAGCAGACCCCGCCCCAGACATTACCATCACCCCTATTTTATAAATGATTGACCTCCATTTCCTCAAACTCAGCCCACTGGCTGACTCTGACAGAACAGTGAACCACTCTTTGTGCTTGAGAGACAGGGATTTCTTGTTGACCTGGGCTGTTAAGTAGAGAGCATATCTCCGGGATGTGTTTTTAAGTGCATTTGCCTAGGAGAGGGCTAGAAGATTGTGAATGGGAGGAAAAGAGAGTTGGAGGGAACTATGAGGGAGTGAGAGAACTACCTAATAGTAATTTTGCAACTTTCAGAAATGGATTCCTCAAAAATGGGCAGGAGGAGTGGAACTGGAGGAAGGGTGAACTAGGCTGCGGAAAATGCAGGCCAGCCCGTCCCACGACCTTCCGGCTACTGAGCCTGGAACGGATCTGCGGCCGGCCGTGGCCAGCGGAACTACCAACCACAGAAGGCGGCAGAGCAAATAATGCTTTGTTGATTTTTCTAAAAGAAAATAAGAGAAATCCTGTTTACTCCCCTGCCCTGTTGTAAGGCAGCTGCTTGTAGTTCCTATGTTGGTCTGTGATCCTCTACCTCTAAGGATTCCAGAGCACTCAAGAGGAGGCAAACCCAAGCTTATTAGTTGTGATGATTCTTTTAAATCTAATTTTAAAAATCTAATCAAAAAGCACTGATCCCAAGGGCTTCACTCTGACCAACAGTTTTTTTGTCTTTTTCCAGTGTCCAATTCCAGTGTCAGGAATTGGACCCAGGGCTCTTTACAAGCCAGGCCAGTGCTCTGCCGTTGAGTTACAGCCTGAACAAAACATAGTAGGTCCACATAGTTCTGTTATTCTAGCATGTCCTTTTCAGTCAATCCTGTCTTCCCCCCTCCCCTCCATCCCAGCAGTCATGGTCTCATTAATTTGCACCAACCTGCAATGGCGTATAAATGCAGCCACACAGGGCACCCTGCTCCACTTTGCCTTACTCCACACAGGCTGAGGCTTTAAAGGTGTGGCCGAATTGGTGCGTGACTCAGTAGGTCGTCCCTTTCCATCTCTGAGTACTATTTCACCCTCCCATCGTGCAACTGGTGCAGCTTACTTCTCGTGCATTTAAGTCTGTCCGTGAGGAACAGAGCTGCTCATTCACACTGGGGACTTTTCAAGAATGTATATTTACATTTCTTTTTTTTTTTTTTTTTAAATACTAAGAGTAGGGGGCTGGAGAGATGGCTCAGTGGTTAAGAGCACCAGCTGCTCTTCCAGAGGACCTGTGTTCAAATCCCAGGACCCACATGGCAGTTCACAGTTGTCTGTAACTCCAAGATCTGACATCTTCACACAGATACATGCAGGCAAAAACACCAATGCCCATAAAATAAAAATAAATAAATTATTTTTTTAAATGCCAGGAGTAGGGTTGTGAGGCTGTGTCGCGGATGGATGGTGGGCTGAGGTACACAGGGACCAGTTGGCAAATGCTGGCTGTGCTGAGGCCGTCCCTTCTCTACTTTCAGAGAACGCTGCCAATATGGCCCAGGGAGGGGTCCTCAAGTGACTTTTATGTGGTGTCTTTGTCTTGGTCTAATTTATGCTCTGTAACAAAAGACCACGGACTGGGAAGTTTATAACGAACATAAATTTATTGGCTCATGGTTCTGTAGTCTGGAAAGGCCAAGATGAAGGGACCGGCTGCCTGGGGAATGCCTTACTATGTTCTCTTGCAGTGGCCAGAGGAAAAGAGGGAGAGATGGACATGTGCGTGTGTGCGCACACAAACACACATTATAAGAAGAGTGGATTACTGTGCTTATAACCAGCCTCCGCTGGCAGCAGCAACCCGTCCACGCTTCCCTCGTGGCCTGACGCCTCATAACGCTACACCTCCCAACACATTTTGGAGACTTACTGAAAGCACAGCTCCCTGAGCAGTTCTCCAGACAGAAACCGTAAAGGCCATTCCTCCAGGCCGAGAAAGTACAACCCGGTGCCGTAGATGTGACCCAGAAAACAGGAGCCACACATTAACAAATAATAATGTCACAAAAGGTAAACACGTCTGTTCATACACACAGAATGCCGTCAAGAATGCAAACAGGCAAACACAGACCTGGAAAAAATATTCACACATATATACCGGTCAGAGGAGTTACACAAAAACACACTACGGCTCTTGCCACTGAAGAATACATGGAGGAAAAGGCCAAGATTTTAAATGGCCCTTACAAAAGAAGATGTACAAATGGCCATAGCCAGCACATGAGCAGGCCCCCACTGCTGTCAGCCACAAGAGAATGCAGATCAAAACACAGTGGCTAAAATAAAAAAAATCACAATGCCAGATGCTGGAGAAGACACAGGGTAATGGATCTGAAGTGGAACAGAACCTTTGAATGTCTGCGTTTTCTTTAGAAGTTGAACACAGGCTAGTTGTGGTGGTACACGCCTTTAATCTCAGCAATCGGGAGGCAGAGGCCGGCAGATTTCTGTGAGTTCAAGGCCAGGCTGGTCTGCAGAGTGAGTTCTAAGACAGCCAGGGTTATATAGGGAGACCCTGTCTCAAAAAAACAAAACAAAACAAAACAAAAAGCTGAACGCAGGTTCTAGTTGGTACATGTTGCCTGTTTAACACTGGTTGGTTCAGAATGAAAGCAAGCCAGAGAAGTGGAACTGACTGCTTCCTGATATACATTCTCCTACCATGACCAGTTTGAAGATGTCAGCACAGCATCACTGAAAGCAGGGATGGCATGAGATCAGCAAGAATGGCATTTGCCAGCTGGTCTCTGTCCACCTCAGCCCACCATGCACCTACTGCACGACCACAAAACCCTACTCCTGGCATTTTTTTTTTTTTTAAGAGAAATGTAAATACATGTCCATGAAAAGCTCCCTGTGTGAATGAGCAGCTCTGTTCCTCGCAGACAGACTTAAATGCACGAGAGGTAAGCTGCCCCAGTTGCACAATGGGAGGGTGGACTAGTACTCAGAGGTGGAAAGGGATGGCCACACCTTTAAAGCCTCAAGCTGTGTGGAGTAAGGCAAAGTGGAGCAGGGTGCCCTGTGTGGCTGCATTTATAGGCCATTGCGGATGGGTGCAAACTAGCCGACCACGGTGCCAGTGAGACCGTGACTGCTGGGGCAGGGCCCCTACATGCTCCATGCATCTCTAATCCCACGAGGATAGGATTATTTCCGTAGGAGACCCTCCAGTCGCTTGACTGAGAGCCTCAATTGGAGATGGTGGACTTTGGAAGACCCTTCCTCTTCCTTGGGCTCCCAGGTCCCGGTCAGCAGCAGCCTGCTGTGTCCGCCCTGCAGTGACCTGCAGTGCCCTGCAGTTGACAGAGTGAACTGACTGGCATGGACCCAGTTGATGGTGGAGCTCCAGAGGGGACATCTGGCTCCTTTGACCACATTAGCATAAACCGGCTGCAGTCACAGGCTAGGGGTGGTTTCCCCAACTAGAAAGAGAGTTCAAAAGGTCCTACAGGCGGGTCTGGGAG